AGGTGCACTCAAATTGGCCAATGGAATTGCATTAGTTTTAGAGTAGCCAATCGAATCACTAGAAAAATGAAATCACTAAAAAATAAGCAAAACCAGCATACATATTTTAAGCTTAAATCCTATTTTGCCTTGACTTGAGTGGAATCAAAGTAAATGAACGCTATGTTGAAGTCTATTCAAGCCGATTAAATAATGAGAAGAATGGCCGACCTTTCGGCTTCATGCAGCACTTTTCAGAATTGAAATCCCGGTCCTGGGAGACGAGTAAGCTGCATTCTACGACGAAGTCTCTTTCAAGTGCACCATAAACTAGCCATCTACGTTAGAGCATCTCCAACGGGAGTCCCTATTCCGGTATCGATGTCCCTATCCCCAAAATCTGTTACAACAGTGGTATTATCGAAGTTACGGATAATTTGGGGATGTATCCGGGTGTTTTTGTCCCCATTTCGCTTGGACGTCCCAATAACTGAACACTTTGGGGACATCCCCATAATTTGGGGACAAAATCGCCCGGATAAGCCCCAAATTATCCGTACTGTAACATGAAGTATCGGTACAACCGAAGTTTTGAGATATAGAGTTGGGATAGGGACCCGCGTTGGAGATGCTCTTAGCAACATAACGTTTCTTTTACTCCAGCACGAACGAGTGGCTCCGAAGTACTAGTACATGTATCTGCCTAGTTTACCAAGCTACAAAGCAATACTAGTACAACCGGGGGATGAGGGAAACATGGTATTCGACAGATTCGCATGCTGACAAGAGTTTCTTCATACGAATGGATTAATTCGTAGAATGTCGTCTGAATACCATACAGTATTTCCCTCATCTCCCAGGTATGCATATCGACCGGTATACTATGCAGTAATGTGTACGCGACGCAGCGTAATTGGTGGCTTTGGTCGTAACATCGTTGTATGGTCGACAATACTACTTTTAGTACGGTATAGATAGACTCGTGGCACTTTCCGCGATTTCAAGCATGATGACCTAACGTACTATACGTAATCTTCGAAGATTCAAGTGGTCACGAAACCCAAAAAAACTGGCCGTTTGATGGCACCAACGTAAGCTACATACTACGTAGTACATAGTAGCTCCTTATGTTGCTGCGCTTCAACACGCAACTACTGTAGTTACAGTAAATACCATCCATCGTCATGGCATTGTTAAATATATATTAGTCGAGTTCAAACGCCAACGTAAACTCGTTCCTGTCGACGCAAGTGCAACTTGCACAGATTCGTGGCATGGCTCAACCGCTTGCAATCACCGGCTTTGCATTCTCGCGCTTTTCTATGGCCATCACACATGCCGCCGCCTCGGTCCATCCGGCCGCATCCTTCGGCACTGCACACTCGGATTCGGCCGTGCGTCGCGCATTTGCTCCCTCGTTGGACGCCTTTCGTGCACCCTTGATGGCTGCACCGTTTACCACCCCCGTGGGTGCGACACAGTCCTTGGCCTTGGCTACTTTTATCGCATCCGGGCTTGGTACATCTGGCACCGCCGCCATGGGACTTGCATAGCCCGTGCGTCTGGGCAGCATTTCCGCATCCTTCGGCTTTACACACCTTGGCGCCTCCGTGGCCCAAGCAGCAGTTTCCTCGTCTTGCGCGCCTTCCACATCCAGACACTTGACACGCAATGGGGGCTCCACGGGAGCGGTGATGGCGACTGCCGTCTTTCGTACGGTGTGGAGACGAATGTTCTTGGTCGGACGAGGCACTCTCAGAGTCAGTGGAGCAAGGCATACCAGTCAAATCCAACAGCGCGTCCAATACTGTGATGTCTAGGGCTGCCTCCATAGGGGGTGCCGACGATTTGTTGAGAAGATATAGCCAAGCTTGTACATCGTGCACAAGAGAGAACCTATCGGATGATGCTGAGTGGAAGGGAATGGGGTCGTGGCTGGTGGAGCTCATACGCCTCAATGGCAAATTGAATTGTGAGACCAGCGCGGAATCCAACACACATCGAAAAGTCAAAATGTATACTCGTATACTAAATAGGCTTATTCAGGCTTAAGACATAGTATACTATACATAAATAATAGTATACCCTGCTTAGACATACAAAAATTTGTACATGAGATATAGTGAGATTTCATATTTCAGGGACTGTGGCAGTGGAAATAGCTCGTAATACATTCAACGCCACAGCTGATATGACCAATCAAGTTCGAGTGTACCGAATTTTGCCACGGAATCAACCAATCAAATGCAGGTCGACGGATGGATGACACAATGACGACAGCAGCAGCCAATCACGGTTGGGTCAACCTGGCCCATAGACGAGTTACGTTATCAGTAGGAGGTTCTACTACCATCGTCCACATATAACGTCCACTTCTAGGGCTGCTGGTCTCACGTAGCATTGGAGGCGATAATGTTGTAAACAGTGTTGTGGTAGCGTTATAGTTAGTGTGTTTAAGTGTCTGGGACGATGTGGCGAAGTATCTTGAGATACATGCGAACCAATCTTGGCATGTCTGTATCCGCGCGCTTTGTCGCAACCATACTGGTATTCAAATCAAAAGCATGTGTACCTCATATGTCTACTGTAGGTGCGCGTCAAGGCTTCTGTATCGGAGTGGTACTGAACACTGACAGTGGGCAGCAAAGCTTCAATCCTGTACAGTAAGTACAGACAGACAGTACTGTAGCTCAAAACGAGCATATTCGTGCTCTCTGCGACATCCATTGATGGGACCAACGATGTGTGAGTAGTTATCCACTCGCAAGGGATTGAGTCAATGGTTGAGCTTGCGCAAGAAGCACGTGCGCCGATTCCGCAGCTACAGTACAGTAGGTCTATTTTCAATCAGAAGTATGACAGTCTGTCTACTACCGTACTACTACAGTATACACTGTACTACTACAGTAGTTTAATGCTTCGAAGTATACTACAGTAGCATAGAACCTAGTTCTAAGTTACAGTTGTATTTATTATGTTGTATTTATTATGTTGTATTTATTATGATAGTCGTAGCAATAAATTCTAACTCGTACTCTCGGCAAGCCATCCTCCACAACACGTTTTCGGCCTTTCTAATGCTTTAAATCCTAGCGGGTTGACCTGCTCGGATGGGAACAAATGTTAGTCGACTGCGAATTGAATAATTCCCTCATCATTACTAGGAATCGTTAATTTTCTAAACTTACTGTTAGTACCACTGTTGTTTTGACCCGAAATACTGTACTCGCATCCGTTGATACTACTGTAGAGAATTACATCCGGATACACTTTTTCGCCCGTAACCGTGGAATATGAGGCTCTGTCCTACTGTGCCCTCGACGAGTACAGTGTACATACGATACGATGCGATACCTCCGAGGTTAACTGGATCCAGTGGTTAGCTACAGTACAGTATCGCTAACCACTGAGATGCACTTAACCCTAGTGAGGGGTGCCGTGGTCGCAGTACACAAAGTTGCATATAAACTCTCAAATTGCAGAGCTTTCTGAGAAACAAAAGTAGAACTGTCGTAATGAGGGTTGGGTACGAATTTCCGGACCGTTCTCATGTCAATCGAATCTTGCCGACCAAAGCGGGCACAAATCTCTCCCATTGGTCAATCCGAATTACTACGTACACGATCACTGGGGGATCAAAACAACGAACCTCAAACGAGAATTGGCAGAATATTGTACCACACAGCTCATGAGCAAAGTTACAATGTTAGTTGTGGGCTACGAAGTAGTATCGTTTAAGGCTACCAAATCACCTGCGAATGTGCGACGAAGAAGGTTTCTATCAACCAGATGAATCAAGAACTATAGATAACGCTAACAGTAACTATACAGTCCAAATGGTAGCTCCATCGAGTTCGTTCTGTTAATTTCATCATTTCTCTCACCCTCCTGATTGGCTATAATTTCATTTTGGGTTTCTACCAAGGCAAATTGGATAGTAGCCAATCAGATGTCTTCGCCAGGGTTGTGCTGGATTGGATGAACCTTGGTATACATTTCCTGCATATTATGCTGCAAGGCGACTACAACTCTCCAACTCACCAAAGGTTATCCGGCAATCGTGGGCGTTTTGGTGGGCACAGGAGGCCGACGAGTGGGTGCATAGAGTGAATAGTATCATGGTGTTATACTTGGCGTTTGTATGGACATGCCGACCTGGCACAATCCGACCCGTTGCGTGGGCACCAAAACTTACACGCATATGTGAGCCAATCGCAGGGCCCCGTTGGTCGATTTACCGACGAATGGCATCGGCAGGTTTCGTCGCGTGGACGTGCATGCCAAGCTCACACGTGTGCGAAACGACGATGTCGACACGTTCATAACGGAGCGATCACGACCAATGGAGCATTCGTGTGTGCTGCGTGATCATTGTTGGTTTTGCATCGCCGCCATGCATGCCACGCCACGAGCCACCTGTTCGTGATCGACGACCAATTGATTTCATTGGCTATAAATCACCAAGTCTATTCAGTGGATAAGAGACACGAGATAACGTTCTCCATGAGTGGACCAGCGCGTCTCATGGCATCCTCCTTCATGTAAGGCAAGCGAAAGTGATTGTCCCCATTGTGCTCAAGCACAATACGCATGACACCTTGAAAAGCAAGAAACACATCCTGCAGCTTATCAAGGCTCAACATTTCAAAGACAGCCAAGGTCGCCTTGATCGCATCGTCCACACGACGACTCACCATCTTGTACTGTAGAGATGGTGAGTCGTCCTGTGGACGATGCGATGGAAGCAAAAAAAACCAAGTCGAGGACGTTGAGGTCAGGGCTGTTTGGCGGTTTGCGGTGCGTCACAAACGTCCAACCGTCAACGAGGATGCGTTGAACAACACACGCACGGCTTCGACCAAGAATCGGTACGACGGGTACATTCGAAATATCGTGAAATGGGCTACGCTACATGGCCGCAGTGACTGTGTGGTGGACGCCGTCACGTTGGATGTATCCAAGGTTTCGTTTCAGGGTTACAAAAGCGTTTCTCGAGTGGTGTTACCAAACACTTAGTCCTGCCGCGTCGACGTTGGTTTCGTATCGAAGCGCCATGATGTACCTCTAGAAGATGCAAGGGGGTAACGAAAACAAAACCGTGGAGAGCAACGCATGGTCAGGGATTCCGAAACAAACGCCGTGGAGATCAACGCATGATCAGCGGGCATCTTCTTGACCAACTACCGCCGTCGGCCCGCCCAACTCGAGTCTTGACGACGGTGATGGATGGAGCCACCGTGCAGCCCGATGACACGTACGTCTTGGCTCCCTTGGTCAGGGATTCCGAAACAAACGCCGAGGAGATCAAGGCATGATCAGCGGGCATCTTCTTGACAACCACGCCTTGACGAGCGAAGCGACAAGCTTGTACGTTCGTTTGTCCGAAGTATTGGCCAACCAGTACCGCAAAAAAGGCATGGAAGACCCTCCAAGCTCAAGCGCCGTGACGTCCGACGTATCTTTCGACTCGCCACTCGCAAGAACAAGTCGTGCAAGCAGATTTCGGCTGCACTAGAGGGTAAAGTAACACGAAACACTGTTCTTAACATGTTAAAGGCGTCTAACTGTAAATTCGCCAAGTACATGAAGCTTGCGCCCGTCCGATGCACGACTCACCCCAAGCACCGAAAAGATCGTGTCGAGTTCGCAAGTCGCTACCTCAACAAGGCTGCTGAATTGAAGGCTACGCTATTTACAGACGAAACGAAGTTCAACCTAGACGGCCCCGACGGTTGCCAGTACTACTGGCATGACTTGCGCCAGGATGTCGAGACGTACTCGAAACGTGTCGCTGGAGGTGGTTCGGTTATGTTGTGGGGTGGCATGAGTTTCTAAAACAAGACGCCGTTAGCCTTCCTGGCTCGCATCTGTTGCCCGCAATGCGCGTACTTGCTCGCATGGTCCCTAACCATGAAGCCATTTTTCAACAATATAACGCCAGTATTCATCGTTCCCACTCCATCATGGCCTATCTTGCTGAAATGCCGTGGCCATCAATGCCTTGGCCGGCCAAGAGCGCAGATTTGAGTCCGATTGAGAATGTTTGGGACGTTCTCGGGAGGAAGGTCTACGAAAACGGTCGTCAGTTTGAAAGCAGAGCCGAATTGGGATTGATACTGGACTACAGTATTACACATATTAATACTACAGTACTTTACTACTCCGGGAGTACTGTAGGTGCGTGACGGATCAGTGAGCAGCCGAATGATCAGTGAATAGCCGAGTCGCATTACCCAATATAACTCCAGAATTGATATGATTGGATAAAATAAAAGCCTGCAACAACTAACACCTTCAAACATTTATGGTTGGGAAAGAGTACAAATTTGTAGAGGGGTTTGTTTTGCTTGTGTCAAATCAAAATACCGCGAAGAATGTCGTACTGTACACGGCTGACGTTGTAGCTAACTGTAAGGCCATAGCAGACGTAATCTCCAAGAAGCTAACAATCCCTGCTGCTGCAGACGCATATTCGATTCCTCAGCAATCGTTTCGCACACACATGGCGAATGCTAAACGCATGGACACTGCAGGCCGATCATGGGACTACCGGCGGTGGTCCCATCCAGAGCTGACCAAAAAATAACTTTTTTGCGAATATACTTATTTATTAACAAGAAATAAATAATTCTTCTACTATGTGCCAAGAAAGTAAATAACCTTGATTTCTGGAGCATGAAAATAGGTTATACTCAAAGCTTACAGAAATGAATAAGTATTGAATTACAAAGGAATAATTCGTTGGTTGGCACCCCTACCTTCAGTTCCAATGGCGTGTGGCCATTCAAACGTTTGGATGCCCACACGCCATCGGAACT